CAATGGTGGTGCCAACTTGGGCCAGTGAGGCAACGTCCTCCACAACTAGACTGAAGAACAAAAGGACAGCAACTTGTCTGTTCCCCTTCCCCCAATTCCCTAGCACTGTTCCCATCCCCTCAATTCCACCCCCCCAAAAAAAATATTAAAAAAAATATAAATAAATAAATAAATAAAACAGTATCATTGTTTAAAAAAAAATTCTTAGATTTGACTATATAAACATTAAAAAAATTTTATATGGCAAAAACAAAACCAAAAACACCAAAACACAAATGATTTAAAAATGAACTCAATATCACAAAGGCTAATTATCTTGCATATAAAACTCCTACAGATCAATAAGAACAACAACCCAAAAGAAATATGGGCAAAGGTCATAAACAATTTACCCATGAAAAGGGAAATGTAAATAGCTCTTAAATGTATGAAAAGATATTCACCCTCATCCCTAATAAGACAAGTGCAAAGTAAGGCAACCCTTGACAAAAGATCACGTTTTGCACTCATTGTTGATTAAAGTATGGGAAATCGTTTTTGTAGATGTGCAAATTGGTGCAAGCTCAATGAAAGGCAATTTGGGAATTTATATAAAATATACAACACACATTAGTGGTGATTTTGAAATTCCTTTTCTAAGTATTTAGCATATACAGATACATTTGATTCTGTGCATACAGCATTGTGCGTAGTAACAAAATATTGGCAACTGAAATGTCCATACATGGGAGAGTAAGTGTAGCACTTTCATACAATAAAATAACATGCAGCCATTAACAAGAATGTGGCAGCTCTCTATGTTGCAGAAGAGAATTTATATAATATACTACCATTTGAGACTTAAAAAATAAGATACGTACATATAAGTGCATGCATATATATTTCTAGAAGGATAAGCAAGAAATTGATCAGAATGGTTTTCTCCAGACAGAGCAATAGGATAGGAGATACAGATGAGAAAAAAAACCCTTAATTTTCACTGTACGCCCTTTAGCGCTTTTGGATTTTGAACTATGCACACATTACCTATTCAAAAATGGGTGCAAATTTATTTAAAGGTATTGAGCTCATGGGCACCCCAGTGTTATTGAGTTCAACCACCTGTATCAGCCTGAGAATAGTTGTATGCATTTATTAAATCCCTTTCCAAACAAATCTCAAATCAGTTTTCAGTAGTTTCTCTGAGGTAGACACCTCATCCAACTAACTGTTCTTAAAAATACACTTATGTTCAATGCAAATTTACTCATTAGTTGAAGTTTGGATTGCCGCTGCCCATTGTTTCCACTCTTTTCCTTTAATAAAATAGATGACTATCTTTATCTTTACAGTGGGCAAAGATGTATGGGCGTGTGTGTATTTATTTGTGTGTGTATAGGAGGAGGAACGCAAGTCATGGGGCCCATTTTAGATACGTATATTATAGGAATTCTAATTCAAAATAATCTAAAGCCAGAATGTATTACATATTTTATATATGGTGGCTTTGGCTTAAAAGATAGCTATGGAACAAAAGCCTGTTTTACACATTGTACCTATGAAAGCTATGCTTTCTTTTACATTTTTTTCATCAGCTTAAAGCTTTTGTGAATATAGACCCTCTGCTAATTGCTATGTACTAAAATAGTTGTCTGTTGTGCAGACTGGAAACCTGTAAAGAGACAGAACTTGCCAAGGGCTTTTAGGGATGTATGTAGGATTAGAACCCCATGTTCTGCCCTCTATTCCAAACTTGAATGTGCATACAAATCACCTGGGGATTTTGCTGAAATGAAGATTGTGATTCAGTAGTCCAGAAGTGGAGCCCAAGATTCTGCACTTTTGACAAGCTCCCAGCTGATGCCAATGCTTTCGGTTCATAGCCCACATTTTGAGTAGCAAGTCTAGGCTTAGTGTAGCCTAACCTGGATGCTATACAATCCTATGTCTTCCCAGTTATCACATAAGCCAAGTAAACCAGTTGCAAGGGTTGCTAATACCACTTACTAAGCAGAGAAAGCCTCTTCCTCCACATCCCCTGGTTTCTGTAACAATGAATTATTTTTATAAATAATCCCAGCCTCTTGTGCCAGCCCTTACTCCTGAGTTGGTAACCACCATTTTTCCACTTTTCTCAACTGAGACAAAATAATCCAAAGTCTTAAACAGGCCTGTGTGTGTGTGTGTGAGGTGTATGGTCTTTCTTTCTTAATTCCTCTACCGTAGCATGAACCAGCAACTTGCACAAGTGTTTGCGCTTTCCAGACCCAAAATCTCCCTTCAGTGAGCAGTTCCAAGGCCTACACTGGGGGGAGCAAGGATTTTGAAGGCATGCTTACTTTCATCAGTAATAACAGTGATTCCCATCTGCCTTATTCTTTAGTCTTACTTTTAAATTGATTCAGATCTTAGGGTTAGGGAAGAGGGATGCTATTTATGAAATCCCTTCAGATCCCCAACACCTCCTAGACAACCAGCTAAGAGAATAATGGAGGTTTGAAAAGGTCATCAATGTAGATCCTTCACTCTCCCCCTCTCCCCCACCTCTCTCAACCTATCCCTGGGATGCTTCCCATTCTCTTTTCCCTTCTCATTCTTTGGGCAGTGCTGTCCTATCCAAAATTCAGCCTGAAGCCCAGACCTTAACCTGGTTCTTTCACCAAGTATCTTGGGGGTTCCTCATCTGTGCAATCCCACTGATATATGCATTAAAAAGAATCAGATGTGTTTATAATATATCCCTCCATCTTCAAATTCTTACTGTCCCCATTCTACCCTTCTTGTGGCTATTTTCCCATTCAGAAAGAAAACAGAACTTAAAACCTTAATTAAGCATTATTAAATTCCTCTGACTCTACTTCCTTACCTTCTCCTGGATTCCTTCATCATCACCAGCAAAGTACAAAATAGGGATATTGAGCTCAGAGGCAGCTATCCATTGAAGTATGGCCTGGAGATGCTTGTTCTGAACCGTATCATTTAGGTTGTGATTGAAGACAATCACTTTGGATGATGCACACCCTTCAGGGGACTGTCCTGATACACCTCTCAATTCATCGTAGACAGCTTGATAGGCATTCTGCAAAACAGCCTCTGCCGTCCCTGTACCCTTGACTGGTAAACACTCATATAAACTGTCTGGGAAGGTTGACATTGGCCTGCTGACATCCCCAGACTTATCGTCTCCCAGCTCTTCCAAGGGAGGAGAGTCACAGGACTTGGCAATAATGAGACACAGCTTCATCACTGAGTCCATCAGATGTTCTACCATCTCCCCATTCATGTGGCCTTCTAACTGGTTGGTAACCATCTTGGTCAGCCCAGCAAAGGCATCAGTGGCCTCATCGCCGTCACTTAGTTTGTCAGGGGTGGGGGTTACAGGTCTTTCATACAGGTGGCCATCTTTTTCCTTAACTGGCTGTTCTGGCACCTTGTGTTCGGAGCTACAGTCACTCTTGAAAATGGTCTCACTAAGTAAATTCCGGATGAAGTTGAAGAAAATGCTCTTTAGATCCTTCTTTTCTGCTTCTTCTTGGTTGACTCCCATATGAGAAGACTTAAGGCCAGTCTCATCAGGAACTCCAGGGTACTTGTTGGCTGGCAAGTTGGTGCTGCCTGCAGCTTCAAGGAAGTTCTGTGCATCCGTGTTTCCTCCCTGGGCCAGGTGGTACTGAATCAAAAGTAAGGCAGATACAATCAGGTCCTTGGCCCAGGAATCATACATAAAATTCTCAGGATTCTCTGCATGAGGTGTAGGGGGCCTTAAGTTACAAGTATCGAAAGGATATCCTGGGGGAATGTCTGGTGCAGGATTATATTGCTTGTCGGAGTCTGCACATACTGTATGCTGGAAATCTGGAGATTTTCCTTCTTTATTCTGAGTTTTATGCCACAAGTTCAGTCCCTCTTTGATAATGTGCTCACCCAAAGTTTCAGTACAAGTTTTCTCTGGTTTGCATGGAGGACAATACACTTTTTCCCTCAATTTACCTTCTGATTTCATTGTTGCAAAGTTTATGTTTTGGTTTTTAGGGTTACCCATTCCTTTCATGGACAAAAGAGAATAACTCTCAGACTTGTCCTTGGTTTTCCTGACACTCTCAGGAGATTTCTTGGCAAACATCACAGTGTATAGCTTATTCAGCATGGCATCCATGACATCTGTGGCCTTCTGGCTTCCATGACAAAAGAGACTTCTCTTCACAGCTGAGACAAAGTCTGTATCAGTCATGAGGGTCCCTGTGACATTGTGGAGGTTCTTCATGAAGGAGTCAATGAGATCTGAGACCACGTCTTTTGCATGCTTGATCAGTACCTTCTTCAGCAGGATGGTGGCAATGGTCGTGTCCTTCACTTGGATCTTCAGTGTCTTCATGATGGAGACCATCATATCAGATACCACACTGTTGGCATAGGTCATGATCCCTTGGCTAACAGAAGCTGTAAAGTCATCAGGCCTTTCTTGCCCTCTGAACATCTTTCTTTCTCCAGGAAAGGACCTTCCACCCTCTTTGGCGTCACCTGCATTACGAGATTCAAACACTTCTTTATAGAATAAAGATTTTTTAGAAGCAGGCTTGTCAGCTGGACCCTTGCTCTTCTTGATATTCAAAGTGGTCTTGTATTTCAAATTTGGGGGACTCTGTAAAAATCCCAGGGCTCTGTCACCAGAGCCAGGCACCTTATCTGACGTGGTAGCCTTGGAACATGCAGAGACAGTCTCATTCACCAGCTCTGATGCCACTGCACTCAGGCTTTTGTTGGGTGTGGGTTCATCCCCTACGTACAATGACTGATGGACACATTTGTTTTCAGAGCCATCGATCCTCTCATTGATCTCCTTGCGGGCCATGGCTATGACTAGGTTTGTGAGGCGGTTAGCATAGAAGGAAACTTCATCTACTGAACTCCCACTGCCAACTTGGACCCTGGGGCCCTGGAGAGGGTTCTCTCTGTGAGTTATCTCAAAATGCAATCTCCCTGGACTGTCCTTGTTGGTGGTATTGTAATAGTCCACAAAGAAACCCTTGCATGGGTCTCCTGAGTTGGTCATTTCCCCACCAAATAACGATTCTCCGGGCTTGAACCTGACATCTTGGAAGCCTGCTGTGCTTCTCTCCAGGTCTCTGCGGAGCCAGCTGAGCACTCTGACAGGGTCAGTTGAGGCTTCCTTAAACATAGACAAGGATTCATCTGACTATAACAAAATAAACATATGGGATATTTAGGACAACTCAAAGATCACTTACAAATATGATCACATTGTTGAAGACTGAACCACTCCATCATCATGATAAAAGTAACAAACATTTACTTGCTTACTATGAATCAGGCACTGTTCCAAGTATTTTAAGACTATTATCTCATTTCATATTACTCTCACAGTAAACTTAAATGTTAACTCTCTGATTATCCACATTTTACAGAAGAGGAAATTGAAGAAGTGAGAGATTTAATTACTTATCTGAGGTTATACAGCTAATCATTGAGGAAGCAGGGATTCCACCCCATGATTCTGGGGCCCATGCTCTACACTACTCTAGATTTCATCTAACATATATGCTTAACATCTGACAGTCATCAGCTACACAGCCGAGTTAGCATTTGAACTAAATCAATTTTTTTTATTAACTGCTATTTTCTATGGCTTTTTATTTAGATCTGTTTTTATTTAGATCTCTTATTACAAAAGTTTGCAAAAAATTAGAAAATTCAAGGAAAATTGTGCATAATTAATCACTTCGCCAGGCTACACAAACACAATCTGGATATGCCAAATGGCTTCCAATGGACTATTTGACATCACTTAACAATCTGATTTATAACTGAGGAGCTACTATCTGGATAATTTATTAGTCTTAAGTGAATACAGATTCTTTAGTGGACACTAGCTGTGATAAGCACATGCACATACTTATATATGTACATTTTGTAATCCATAATCTTCACTTGAACATAGGCTAAAATAAGAATGTATGTGAAATTGTCCAATTTACCATCAAATGTAAAGATCATTGGATTTATTGGAGTTACGGCTTCTGGAAATGACCACAAGTATTACCCATCTTTAAAGAATAATTTGCTATTCTAATTACCAAGCATCATAGAGTTACTGGCTACTATTTGTTAAATACTTATGTTTTCCAGGCACTGTGCTAAGTGGTTTACACACATTATTCCATTTAATCCTCATACACACCCTGTAAGGTAGGTATTACTCTTCCAGTTTCACAGGTGGGAAAACTGAGGTTTAGAGAAGTTAAATCAATTCACTAGCATCTCACAGCTACTACTTGATGGTGGTTAGTATTGAAATCCAGGTCCTACTCTCAAATTGGTGCTTTCTACCCACTGCTACATTTTCATGACTTGGAGAGAAGAGCAGAGCAGTTGTACCAATTCTCTACAGGGCTGGTATAAGCTGGTTGTTGGCCATCGTGCTTGGTTCAAAGTCCTCTTAGTGGTTCTTATGTGAACAATCATTACTATTAGGGAAATTTTGTGCTTCAGTGGAAAACTGTGCAAAATTTATAGTATACCCTTCCATACTTTCTGATTCTGATTCTCTTGGAGCTATTTTACAACTCTGATAGCAATGCAATATAATACTTGTCTATTCACACATTAATTCTGACCAGGGAAGGTTTGACTGACTTCCTCTCACACCGTGGAAAAGGTGCTTCTATTTGCGCTATTTGCACTTCATTTCAATATTCCTGATCTATATATGTCTTTTTTCCTTCAATTCTCCTTTGAACAACACCAGTTTCTTGTTAATGAGTTAAATATAATCTTTAATGTGAGTTTATTTTTACATATGTATGACAGTCATTATTTCACTCTTCTCTGAAAATGGCTTTTTAACGGTTTTGGAAGTCTTTGCTAAGAGGTCCAACAGGTTCACCTAACAGAGGTAAACTTTACCCTGAGAGTAGGGCACCAGGTGCATCTGGGCCCCCACGGGTGAATCCAAAGTGGCAACAGAACTATGCAGGTGTTCTGTTTTTCTACTTTTAATTTTCCTTTCTACTAAATTTGCTTTCGGTTTTCACTTTGGTTTTTTTTTATGGCCAATAATCATTGGTGACAGCAATGAGTGAGAACTTTGTTTTACTGTCTGACCATTTGATGATTCTTTAGTGAATTATGGTTTATAGAGCTCTATTCTCTGTTGGGTGAGACACAACAGAAAATCCATTTTGCTAGTGTTGTTTTGCCCATCTTAAGCTCAAATCAATAATTTTGTGCCCACTTGGAAGGAGAAGAGCCCTTTGATCTCTCAACAGGTGAGTTTTGTGTTTCTGTTTTTACTTTTGACATATGGCTTAAAGTTTATTATTATTTTTAATTGAGATACAACTGACATATAACACTGTATTAATTTCAGGTGTACAATATAATGACTCAATATTTGTATATAGTGAAATTATCACCAAAATAAGTCTAGTTAACATCCATCACCACATGTAGTTCAAATTATTTTTTCTTATGGTCAGAACTTTCAAGATCTTAGCAACTTTCAGATATACAATATAGTATTATTAACTGCAGTCACCATGCTGTACATTATATCCCCAGGACTTACTTATTTTATAACTGGAAATTTGTACCTTTTGACCACCTTCATCCATTTCACCCATCCCCAACTACTGGCAACTACCAATCTGTTTTCTATATCTATGAGTTCTTTTTTTAATTTAGATTCCACATATGAGTGAGATCATACGGTATTTGCATTTACCTGTCTGACTTATTTCACTTAGCATAATACCCTCAAAGTCCACCCATGTTGTAAATGACAAGATTTCCTCCTTTTTTATGGATGAATAATATTCAATTACATATATCTATATATCTATATATGTATATCTATCTATCTATATTGATATATATCTCTATATATATATCTCTATATATCTCTCTCTATATATAGAGAGAGATATATAGAGATATATATCACATCACATTTTCCTTATTCATTCATCCATTGATGGATTCTTAGGTTGCTTCCATGTCTTGGCTACTGTAAATAATGCTGCAATGAACATAGGGATGCAGAGATCTCTTCAAGATAGTGCTTTTGTTTCCTTTGGATATATACCCAGAAGTGGAATTGCTGGATCATATGGTAATTATTATTTTAAATAATTTCTTCATATGATTGTGATTAGAATTAAATGACATTAAATGAAATAATCTACATAAAATAATTTGTATACTTAACGTGGTATATATAAGACAGATAATACTACTAAAACATTTCAAGTAAAGATTAGACCTCAAAAGAAGTAAGAGAATAGTAAAGAGAAGTCAATAAGCTTGATCTTGAGGGTAATGCAGCGAAACATAGTTAACCAGCTATGGAAGTACTATGGAATAAAATCTGGCCTCCCACATGTATGGGGAGGTAGTGCTCTGTATGAAAAGAGAAGTGCTGGCAGAGAGTACGGCTAGGCATGTGTACTGTCATTTATCCAATCAGACTGCATGGGAGGTGTGGGGAAACTACTGAGTTTCTGTAATGAATCTTTTAAAAATTACTTTCTCTGAACCAAAGGTTAATAACAAATGGGAACTTACTAATGAACAAAATTTAGCTTTAAAGGAAGTTTTAGGAAAAAAAGCTGCCTATATGCATGTCTGAGAAAGGGGCAGAGAAAAGGTGGTAAAATGCTGCAAAGGCAGCATTCAAGAAACGGAAAGTTAGATTCCAATGTACAAGCTATCCATCAGGAGGACCAACCTGATGGCCTTCTATTGCAGAGGTGATTCAGAGGAGACAAATGATGTGTAACACAAACTACTTGCATAATTCAGTATGTAGATATAGTGTCTGTGTACAACACACTCTAGTAGACACTGTGGGACATACAAAGGTGAAAGAAATATAACCCTTGTGTTCTGGAAGCACACAGTCTACTGTAGAGACAAAAAATGAGCATAAATATTATTAAATACTATATGCTCAGTGCTATAAAATATTGGGTTGTCGGAAAAGTCATGACACATTTTTGCAATGAAAAACAGACAAAAATATGTCATGACTTTTCCGACAACCCAGTAATATACGGGGAGGTGCCAAAAAAATGTATACACGTGATTTGTATTCATCTTTTGTTATTGGTATATACTGAGTATTACAATTTTAATACAGTTTTTCCTTTCTTAAAATGTATATACTTTTTCTGGCAGCCTCTGTATATATATTTAATATTAGAAGAGGGATACTTTTGGCTGGGTAACTAGAGGAAGAATTGGCATTTAAGATGGACCTTTAAGCATTTTGACAGCCAGATATAATAGGGTGGGCCTTCCTGGCAAGAAAATGACACAGGCAAAATACATTATTTGGGGTGATGCTAGTTTAAAATCAGATAGCCCCTGAACTTGCAGTGGTATAACAAAATAGAGGTTTACTTCTTGATCATTTTGTTTAGAGAAGACATTCAATTAGCAGCCTTCTTTGCAGTGATTCGGGGACCCAAGCTCTGCTTTTATGTGGTTTCACCCTCCCCTATGGCTTCAGAATCTTTTCCTCAAGTCAGTGTATGGGGAACGATAGAGATCATGGAGGATTAGATAGGAGGCTTTTTGTGGTCCAGGCCTGCAAGTGGCAAGCATCACTCCTACCCATATTCCATTTGTCTTGTTTTTTGAAAGTTTGATTATAATGTGTCTCAGTGTGGGACTCTTTGAGTTCATCTCACTTGGAATTCATTGAACTTCTTAAATGTTTATATTCATGTTTCATCACATTTGGGAAGTTTCTAGCCATTATCTCGTCAAATATTTTCTCTGCCCCTTTCTCTTTCTCTTCTCCTACTGGGACTCCCACAATGCATATGTTTGTTTGCTTGATGGTATTCCACAGGTCCCTTTGGCTCTGTTCACTTTTCTTCATTTTTTTTTCCTTTCTGTTCCTTAGACTTGATAATTTCCACTGCCCTATCTTCAAGTTTGCTGGTTCTTTCTTCTGCCTGCTCAAATTTGCCTTTGAATCCCTCTAGTGAATTTGCATTTCCATTATTGTACTTTTCAGCTCCAGAATTTCCTTTGGGTTATCTTTAGGTTTTCTATCTCTTTGTTGATATTTCCTTTTTTTTTTTTTTTTTAAAGATTTTTATTGGGGAATTGGGGGGGATGGGAACAGTGTTGGGGAATTGGGAGGAAGGGGAACAGACAAGTTGCTGTCGTTTTGTTCTTCAGTCTAGTTGTGGAGGACATTGCTTCACTGGCCCAAGTTGGCACCATCATTGCGCTGTTCCCGGGCGAGGCAGATCAGTCACCGGCTTCTGGACGGCCGCTCACTGCAGCTGCTGGCCGCTCACGCTGGCTGCTGGCTACACACGGTAGCCCATGGCAACCCACTGCCACAGGGGCTGCAGCCTCTGCCGTCGCCGGCGACTCACGGCTGCCCAGCTCCAGGTTGAGCTGTTGTTCAGCATCGTAGCTGTAGAGGGCAGTGTCACTGGCCCTCATATGTGGGATCCGAACCGGGGCCCTCTGGCGTCCCAAGCCAGTTCTTAACCATCGCGCCACTCGGCCGGCCCTTGATATTTCCTTTTTGTTCAGACACTGTTTTCTTGACTTTCTCCACATCTTTCCTTTAGTTCCTTGAGTTTCTATCTTTAAGACAGCTGGGTCTTATCTAGTAAATCTGCTATCAGGACTTTTTCAGAGACAGATTTTGATTTATTTTTTTCCTTTGAAAGGCCATACTTTCCTGTTTCTTTGTATGCCTTGTGACTTTTTGTTGAAAACTGCATGTTTAAATCTAATGGTTGATTGAGGCTCTAAGCTGTCTACTAGTGTTTGTATCACTATGTATCTGCCATTTAGAAAAGCATTACGTGTAAGTAGTAATGTCTTCCTACCTCCATATTGTATTAATACATTAGATTACTAAGTCTATTACATTAAAGGATCTCTATTCTGACTGGAAAACGTATTCTTATAGACCCTAACTCAGAAATATTTTAGGAACTTAAGTTCACATAAGTTAGGTAAATCTTTATTAAGTTAGATTAGTTAGGTTGGGTAAACAAGATTAGTTTAATAATTTTAGTTTAATAAAAACAGCTATGTCTTTTCTGATTTATCAGTGTTAAGTATAATACAAGTGTGTATTTTTATTTTACTTTGATACACTCTTTACAAACTTATACATGTTATACAGATCCAATAAGGTAGTATTACTTCTACTTAATATTTAATATCATGAAAAATATAAATTTATACTTAAGCAAATTGAATAGTTATTCTGACAAACTATTTCAAGTTACGTTTTATAGTATGCCAGATTTATGATAAATTTCCAACATCTTTATGTAACTTAAAATAGTGGACTGGTATTAGATTAATTAATGGACATTCATGGAATACTTAGATAATTTCTAAGTAAAATAGAATACTGAAATAGTGATGACTAAGCATAGTTTATATGCTTTTGCTTCCCATTTATTATACTATAGAAATGCTATATCTTTGGATCTGTTAATAAATGTGTTCATTTTTGCCACTTAGGTAGTATAAGGGATGTGCATGGCTGTAGAAATTGTCTTATGTGTATTCATGAACTCTGCTCTTCTGTACTTTAGCGGGTGTGTTCACAATTACCTCTCCCTCCCCAGTGTTTTTTGTGAAATAAAAAGAATAGAAAATATTTTGATAAAAAGTTATGATTAATATAAGTGGTTGAGACTATATTTAGGAACAATAGTGTCAAAGAAATACAATGGTGTACATGCTTGTTTTTCTAGGGACTGCAGGTAAAATTTGGTGGAGAGAGTTTCTTAGTCTTGAATTCCTGGTCTCAGGATAGCAAATAATGGAGGTCTTTAAAAGTCCAATCTGAAATTCCTTATGAAAACTTCCAGTAAAGCAAACTTAAAGTCTTATCTGGTTGCTGCACCTATGTAAATAATCAGACCCAATCTGATGACACTAGTCTTCCTTAGATTTACTTACGAGTCTAACTTGTCAAAAATTGTCTTTTTTTTTTAAATCAAAATGAAGGCAACTGTAAAGGAAAACTTGTGCTTCAATAGAAAATTGTGCATTGTCTATAGTCCATAGTCTATAGACTAAGCATTGTCTATAGCCTGCCACATAAACTGTTTCTGATTTTATGGGTTTATGCCACATAAACTTATTTCTGTAAGTTTAGATAATTGATAGCAATGCAAAATAATTCTATGTCTATAGACATGTAAATTCTGTTCAGTAGAGATTCAGCTAACATCCTTTCTCCACTGTGGAAGAGGCCAGTTTTGCCTGTATTTGCACATTCATTTCAATATTCCTGATCTATAAGTATATCTTCTTTATTTTTAATTTTCCTTTGAACTGGTTGTAATATCTTACCAATTTCCTCATTAATGAGTTAAATAAATTCTTTAACATGTATTCATTTTGTATCTGATAGAGAATCTTGATTTGACCCTTTTTTGAACATTATCCCTTAATAGCACCTACATATTTACAGATAGGCACACTATCTGCAAATAGGCATGTTTCCATATTTGGGCTAACATGCACAGGTATGCCTTATTATAATGAAGATGTGGGGTTTATTCTTTTATCCTTTTCGATTCATTTCACAGAACATTAAAAACCCCCAACAAACCTACAGCATAACATAGAGCTTTATGATGGAGTCGAAGGAGTTGTGTTAGCTTGCTGTGTTTATAGGTTTTTATTATCTATGTTTTTTAAATCTAAAATGTGTGTACCCTATGTCCATTATTGCATTCAATCCAGGAGAATTTTGCAAAAAAAAACTGGATGATGAAGCCATAGTGGCTGGCTGAAAGACTAACCTCATTTCTTTTTCTATCAATGAAGTCTACAAACATCCATCTCTTCCAAATCTCTTTGCCCTCTTGTAACCTTTAACTCTTTCACTTCTTACACAGTACGATCCAGAGCAGCTAGGAAGGTGGATGTCAAATTATTTCTGAGTCTATCTTAATTACGGCCAGGGAAAAATTTCATGCCATGACAGAGAATATGAAAAGGGTTAAGGAGTTTAATTTTCTCTCCTCAGCCATCTTCCCCTTCAGTAGCTTGGTTTTAAGTCAACATATATACCTCCCATCCTATTCTTCTTTACCTCTATCTAGCTCAATTAAACATACTTTATAGAAATTTCCCTGACTCCCTCCCACTTTGAAATGATCTGTTCTTTAAACACCCTTAGCAATTATTATCCAGAAAATCCATTTGACAAATGACCACAGATTTCTTATAATTAGTGTCCACCAGTTATTTAGAGCTTTTATATTATATTGATATTTTCACAGGTATAGTTTTTATTTTCCAAAATGAATGGTAAAGTCTATGAAGGCCGAGATTGTTTCGTTCTTTTTTGAATTTCTCAGGGTGCTTCTCACTTAGTGAAAAATGAAGGAATTCTTGTTAATTCTTATTAAAACTCATCTGTCTTTTTTTTTCTAAATAAAAGGGCAGAGATAAATAAAAGATCTGGTAGGAGCTGTTTTGGTTGGCACTTACTCTATAGTAATTGGATATTTATTATTATGTGTCTTAATGTCTTACGCAGATTTGTTAATGTTTTATCTCTTAGGCATATAGACCAAATAGATTTAAGATGAACAGAAGATGGGTCATGTAACGTTACATGGAAGTAAGTGTTTAATACATGTTAATACTAAGGATGAGGATTACAGTAATGATTCCATTAGATCATGAGATCCTTAAAAGGAGAGAATTCTACTTTTAGATATCTGACCCTAAGACTCAGCACAGTGTCTGTATCAGTTATCCATCACTGTCTCTCAATTCTAAGTCCATCCTTCTCTATCTTGCTTTATGACACTGGAACTGGATCCGTTGAACTTTTCTCTTTTGGCAGTGGGCTTTGTTAATAGAGGTGCTGGAAGGATACTCTATGGTCTCAGCAAGAGGAAGTGTTTTCCTTCTGGACCACCTGCATCCTCTGGCAAGTGTCTCTGGCACCAACAGTCTGTGTTCCGGTGGCAGCCGCATTCTCTCCAAAGATATCTGAGCAGCCTTTGGTTGGGGAGAAGGGAGCTTTTGTGAATTCTTAGTTTCTTCCTGGTTCACTCCCTCTCAGCCTCGGGGTAGTAGTAGCTGCTTTTTGCATTTGCTAATTCTGGACTCTCAGAGTTCTCTTCTATAGCTTTTAGTAGTTAACTAGGTTAACCACCTTTAATAAACAATGGTTTAATATTAAATTACTGGTGTGCTTTCCATCTTCTGGCTGGCCCCTGACTTACAGTGCCTACTACTAAGTAAGTAATTTAATAAGTGTTTGTTGAACGATGAAGGCAGAATGAGAGTTTATAGTTCTGAGAATTTTGAGGCAGCTTACATTTCAGAAAATATTTTTTATGAACTTTGGGGACATTTCTGTTTGAAACCCAATCCCCTCCTGTTTGAAAATTAAACAGAATTTTATAGCTGTAATATATAGGTTTTCATTAACTATAGCATATTTCTCCCACTAAATACTGTATTATAAGAACTTTTTTCAAAAATTATAGATGGGGATTTTTTGTTCTAGAGGAGTTCATTTATCCCCAAGAATTAAATCTTCAAAAACAAGAGGTGGGTGGTGGTGGAGAGAATTAGGCTGCTTTTAATGGAACTCCACATATTCCTAACCCAGTATTTGTAAGGAGGTTGGTACTTACCATTTTCCAGTCCTGGGGCTGGGTGTCTCCGGGTGAATAGGCATCAACTTTGCATACCCTATTTTGGCTTTGTAACCAGTCGACCCTTTCTGACATCTGGAAATAGGAAAAGAAAGAGAGAGAGAGAGCAAGGGAGCAAGAGAAGGAAGGAAGGAAGGAAGGAAGGAAGGAAGGAAGGAAGGAAGGGGGGAAGGAAGGGGGGAAGGAAGGAAGGAAGGAAGGAAGGAAGGGGGGAAGGAAGGGGGGAAGGAAGGAAGGAAGGAAGGAAGGAAGGAAGGAAGAGAGGAAAGAAGGAAGGAAGGAAGAAACGGTCATCAAAAGGGCAAGTTATATGAAAGAAAGGAGAAATAAAGGAAATGGTTTAGGTATAGAAAATAGGAGCAATGCTTTCATAGAGACCTGTCCCAAGAGCTACTTCAAACCCACTTAACTCTGGATATCTTCATCCTCAGTTCTCAACTTCAGGAAGATCTCTTAGACATGCTCGTATGTATCCCTTGTGCTAAGGCCAGTGCCTGCTATAGGCTAGAGGCGCTTAATACAGATTTGCTTATGAAAGATCCTAAGTAGCCATGTCCTTCTCTTTGCGTCACTGCTTGACAGCTCTTCCACATCTTGGATTTTCAATAGACGCTCAAAACTCAATGTGATCAAAAGAGAATTAATGTACTTCTCCCTTGCCAACTTATTTTTTAAAGCAGCATATGGTTCATTTTAAAATTATTTCTAAAGCACTAACTTACTTATATTAGCAGTAAGTCTAGTAGCTCTTCTTTAAGACCAATACCTCTTCTAATTAGCCGAGAATCCTAGGGGAATTCTCAGTCTCCATGGTTTAGCCCAACTTCTAAATGCCAGAAGAGAGATGTCATAGGCACCACCCAATGGGCCTTTGTGTACGGAGGCAGTAATACCCTTACTGATGTTGATTCTTTCTTAACTCTCCTAACACTTTTCTCTATTCCCTAATCTCTGTAATGGTACCGTCATCAACCTGGTCTTCTAAGCCAGAAAGCTGATATTCATTTCAGTTGTCTTCTTCCACCCCAAGCCTCTCTCTAACTGCTATTACTTCTCCCTCATTTGTAGCCATTTTTCTTGAAAGAATTGTGTATACTTGGTGCTTTCATTGCCTCATCTCACAACTGAGCACCACAGCCCTTATTCCATATTCCATACACCTCTTTGGCCTTTGGCCTTAGTCTCATCCACTTTCCACAGCATCTTCTTTGACAGTCCTTGGGAACATGGCTACTTATCAAGATATTTGCCCAATGATGACTTATGAGTATGAAAAGCTTCTCTTTTCCCATGCCAGACTTTCATCACCAGGCTTCCACACTTTATAATGTTTCCCTTCCTTCATTATAAATGTTGCTTAGATCTATGCTTCTCAATGAGCAAGGTAGAATAAGATGGTCAACTTATCCTCCCCAATGTCCCCACAATTCTTTGTGAAAGATTATCTATCTATCTATCTATCTATCTATCTATCTATCTATCTATCATCTATCTATCTGGCATATTACAATATCTATCCATCTGTCTATCTATATATGTATATATAGATACATATATCTATATATAGAGATAGATGTAGATATGTAGATATGTATATATATATATTTGGAGATACATAGATATAGCTATATAGATATAGTGGTTTAAAATTCTGTTTAATAATAAAGTCCAAAAGCTTATCCTGTTTTTTTTTATAGTGACAAGTTTTACAAAGTATTACTTGAAATAAGTGAAGCATTAATAGGGGTTGAATATCTGGTTAATTGTAAATATTTGTTTTAAAGGACTTTAGGCTGTTGTGGGGTAGACATCCTCCTTCAAAATAAAACCAACACAAATCAAATACAAATTATACACGATTTAAACTTATTTATAAGTGGATTCATTAATTTTGTTATACAGAACATTTTAGGTAATTACTAAAAATAAAATATAAGACCTTATAAGATCTGCTTGCTCTTTGTTCCTACAGAATTGTTCCCCTTTTTGTTTTTTTTGTTTGTTTTTTCTTTTAGCTGAGCCATCCTGCCACCTGTTGGCAGCTCCGCAGTAGTTCAGCTCGGGCCAGTATCAAACCGGTGTTGCTCAGATCTCACACTCTTGCGCGAGCTCTTAACCAATTGAGCCACTCTGCCGGCCATCTGAACCTGTTTTAACACCCCAATGACTGACTCAGATTACTGAGCCAGCGAAACAAGTTTCTTTTACTCTTCCTGACACTGTAATAACAGATCCTTGAGTCAGCAATGGGTTCACCACCCTGATTAGAATCACACAGAAAACTATTTAAAAATACTAAATCCGAGATACCACCCCCAGACAATCTTATTTCAGTGGTTTTAGTGTGGGGAAACTTAGGCATTGGATTTCTTAAAAGCTCCATGGGGGATTCTAACATACATCTAGATTTGAGACTTCTTGGGCCTGGACTTAATCTGGAGCGATCTTCCCTGAGAAAGATGGGCCAGCTCCAGAAAGATAATTTATTCTTTTCTTTAAAAATTTTCACTGAGATTTCCTAACCTTCATTGGTATCTCATTTTAATGTTATTTTAAAACCCTAACCAGGAAGCTGTTAATGTCTATGAAGTTAAACCCTATATTGTCTTTTAGCAGCTCACTATTAAATATAAATATTCTTATGCTTGAATCATTACCATGAAGAAAGGAATGGATGGTACTACTATTTGGCCAAAGAATGAGAAGACTTGGAAACGGGCTGTCCTGGACTGTTGGCAACGCAAGTCTCTTAACTGCCAGTTTATATTTTATCTTAACGCATTACTTCTAATGCAAAATGGCAAAGTCAATAGGATCCACTGACTTATTTAAGCTATATAACACAATTAAAAAGCAAGGATGAAAATTAAGTACAAAAGTAAGAAAATTATGTTATCACTTACTCTTACTGAGGACGGGTTCTGAATTCTGAGAAAAGTTCTTGATTAATTTGTTGTCATCTTCACTATCCCTAAGTTTACCCACCCTTTCTGCCATGTAATATAAGGAATCTGCAAGAGAAAAACACAAATAAAAAGGACTAATTTTACATATGAACCCTATTGCTCTTATTTCCAAATAGTGATTTTGACTTCTTTCTTACTTTTCACATATAGTACACAAGTGATGAGCACAAAATGACTTTCATATTCAAAGTCCAGATTTCATTCTTGATGCAATCTGGGTTTTCCAGATGACAAAAAAGTTTTCATCTTCTGGCTAATAATTTCTGAAATGACTATTCTCCACTTTCAAATCATTAATATATAGGCTTAGTTATCACTAAAGAAGCTGAAAAATGTTAGCCTAATTTCAAACTTGCTTGAAAAGGAAGTCAGAAGATAAGTAGTTAGAATGGAGATTAAGTACCCTGAATTCATGGGTCTCAAAACATTGTGTAAGTATTCCTTTCATAACTTGAGAGATATATACATCCTTATGTTATAAAAGGGAATTCACAGTTAATGTCAAAAGCAGCTTCCAGATAAATTATTTTCCTTATACTACCTCTACTAAGACATTTAATTAGAAGACATTAGGGCATTGCATTCTCATCTTGGAATATCCACTTAGCCCCCTAAAAACATCCTCTAAATCCCACCTTACTTCATAGCTCAGGTCAAATCTTACCCCATCCATGAAATGTTTTCTAAATACCTAATTGAATGTTCCTTTATCAAAGTTTCTGTCATATTTTGTTTCAACCTTTACACCCTCTCTAGTATTTTAATTGCTCATACATTCCATCTCCTTTATTAGATGGCTTCATGAGGGCAGATATATTTTCTTACCCATCTTGGAATCTCTCATAGTAGCGAGTATCTTAAACTTGGTGCTTATTAATTGTCTGCTGAAAGAATGAATATATGAATACTGCCTATTTCTAATTCCAGATAGCTCATTTTTTCTTTCTTAAACTGGAGCATCTGAGAACAAAAAGAAATGATTTGTTCACGTTTACTTTGGTGGCAGGCCATACATTCAGGCTTTCTTGAAGCTTGACTCCTTTTGGGGATAAATTCACCCTAGAGACTTATCCAAGGGTAAATACCCAATGACTCATTAAGAGACTTTCCTGTCTCAATAATACCAATAACTCATCATCTCAGAAGTGCTCTTGTACTTTTTTCATAAACAGAAAGTATACTTACTAGTCATATATGTGTATATGTAGCAAATGCTTCCACGTACATGTGTCCTAATGTTTTTATTCTATTTTCTATGTCTTCTGTATGTTTATCTGCATCCATGAAGCTTGTTTTACACTTTAAGCTCCCTAAGTTGTCCTGGATAATAGTATATATAAAGAGGTGCTTAAATATCTTTTGATAAATGATATTCGGACTTCAAAACCTGTATACATTTCTCATAAGGAAACAGAAAAGAGGGGAGGAAAATCTAGAGAGTGTAATGGAGCCAATGAATTGGTTCAAAAATTTCTTAACTCCATAGTTGGAGAATAATATCCTTGAGTTAGGGTAGAAGTAGAGAAAAAGGATGCTTTGTGTTATCTATTAAATTTGGTGAAGAAAGAAAGCTATATATAATATAAAGACAAACCAACCTTAGAAATCATTTATTCTAACACCCTCAGTTTACAGATTAGGAAATTGAGGCCCAGAGAAGGAATAGTAAAACCAGTGGGTTTGTTTCATTAAATATTACAGCTCTGAGGGTTAACATCCTGGTAGCTGTGGAAATTTTCTGTGGTCAATAGAGGGATCCTCCAATAGAAGGATTGACTTACAATGTTCCTTAAAAATGCCAGCGTGGGCCGGCCGAGTGGCGCGATGGTTAAGAACTGGCTTGGGACGCCAGAGGGCCCCGATTCGGATCCCACATATGAGGGCCAGTGACACTGCCCTCTACAGCTAAGATGCTGAACAACAGCTCAACCTGGAGCTGGGCTGCCATGAGTCGCTGGCAACGTAGGCTGCAGCCCCTGTGGCAATGGGTTGCCATGGGCTACCGTATGTAGCCAGCAGCCAGCATGAGCGGCCAGCAGCCGCAGTGAGCGGCCAGCAGCCGCAGTGAGCGGCCGTCCAGAAGCCGGCGACTGATCTGCCTCGCCCTGGAAGAGAGCAATGATGGTGCCAATTTGGGCCAGTGAAGCAACATCCTCCACAACTAGACTGAAGAACAAAACAACAGCAACTTGTCTATTCCCCTTCCCCCAATTCCCCACCGCTGTTCCCATCCCCCCAATTCCCCAATTAAAAAAAAATGCCAGCGTGATTATTACTTTGATAGTAGTTTAGGAGGAGTGCAAATCGTGAATGTCAGCCAGGGAGGGCATAAACAACGTAGGGGTTTGGTTGTAGTTGCTGTACCCCAGACCATAGCTCCATCTCAAGACATTTTCTCCTGTATTCATTGTAAGCCAGAGATTCCTGTTTATTCAAGGTTCCTAAACTCATAGAAAAGTTCAAATTACAAGTGGCATAAATTAAGCTTTTGCAGGGTTGATACATATCTGATCAAGTTTTAAAGTTTTTCAACCAGGTTTTATAATTTTAAAAAGGAAGAATGTATTTTATTATATCCATTCTCTTTTTCTCTCTTACTCCCTTTCTCTAAGTGTTTGGCATATTGTAGACGCCAATAAATTTGGTTGTTGATGAAATCAGTTTCAAATGATTTTGTTCAAATAAGGATTGGAAGTGTGTGTGTGTTTCTCTCAGAGGTGCTATTCATTGTTAAGCTTTCCTGTGGATTTCCTCTATGTTCACTTTCCCTCTAGTAATAGCTTCTTCCTTGGGTGCTCCATTAATACAGACACTTTCTCAACATAGTTATCTATATATTCTGCCTTTTCCCAGTTCTCTGTTGTCTAGCCAAATCTTCAAAAATGAAAATGGATAAGAATCAAGATCCATAGCTATACCAGTCTGATTTTGCTATTATAGCACTGCAAAAACAAACAAACAAACAAACAAAAAAACTTTTGGAATAGCCACATAATAAAGAGGAAAAGTCAGCAGGAAGTCAAGCTTCCAGTCTCATTGTCAAATTGGGAAGCAGAAAGTAAGACCCCCTTCATCCCCCCAAAAGGATGGCCAGAGATCTGATCTGCAACAAAATGAAAACTTCAGCAGCAAAGATAGTAGGTTTAGCCATAACACTGCTGAAGAAGAGGCTCATACATTTTCAGAAGACTCTGATGTGAAATTAAAAATGACTGGGCAAACAGACCCATCAATTGTCACAGAGGATCAGGGGCTGTTTTATCAGTCCCATGGGATTTCCTACCTCTGTAGTACTGGAATAGTGACCACAGAAGAGTCCAGAATACACTTTTAAAGTTAACAAAGATGCTGGGATGTTCTTGCTCAGCTCAAGATCTTGTTTCCTCCCCCATCCTTCCATGTACCTCCACCTTGTTGGGACTGGTGAGTGATGTCAGAATCACAACTGGTGATATCACGGTCTCTATAGCAACAGTGGTGAGGCTACCAGAAATTGAGCCCTGGAAGGACAGGGGAGGGGTGAAGCTCTGATGCTTAGTTTGGAGGGACTGGGTTTCCTTTTGATTAATTTTCTCCTATAAGAGTCTAATTTAGGTAGGGAGGGGGAAATTTTGCCAATGGATTCCACTGAAAATAACAGAGTATTGTGTATTAACAAATCCAGATGGATACAGAGGCAAAAAATAAAGAATTGGGGGGTCTAATAAATTTTTTATGCAAAGCCCATGGAATCACTTCATTTTGTGGGATCCAGCCAGTACTCTTTTTCATTATAAACATATTGACTTGTAAAAAAAAATAAATTTGGGGATATTTTGCCTAAACTGACTATCTCTAGGTTAAAATTCATCTTAGATGGTCAGAGACACAGTAGCACTAATCTGTCCCCTGCAATGCCTCCATCTGAGGAATTGTAGTGGGACGAGTCAGACCAAGGGGCATTTAGTTAGCAGTTTCTAGCTTGAGGAGGACTTTATTAGTAGTACATTCTCTTTGAAAATGTTACCTTAGGTACTCTTAATGATTAAATATAAGACTAATACATAGTTTCCATGAAACAAAAAAGATCTTTGATCAAGGCCACAAGATAATGATTACAATCATTAACAAATTCAAAAGTGACTGGTTTATTACAGGATTCCTTTGACAATGTTATTTTTGTATTGATGATCTTTTATATTAGGTCTCAATTTCTTCATCTTTAAAATAAAGACATTGGGCTTGTTGATCTCCTACAATCTCTTCTAGCTCTAACCTTCTATGATTTGATACTTTAGAAGTATTTGAATAAAACCACATGTACACGCATATAGCACTTTGCATTGACAAAGCACTTACACAACCATTATGTCATCTGATGCTCACAATAACCTTTTGAGGTAACAGGGCAGGTATTACTTTCCCTGTTAGACAAGTATAGAAACTTGCCCTGGTCACAACTAATAACTGATAGAACCAGAACTAGGATCTAATATTCTGAATTTTAAGTCAGTGCTGTTTCAATTACATCATGTCACCTTGAAACTAGTGTTTAGAACATGGGGCAGCGTTTGACTTGGAGATATAAAATAACATCATTGGCAATGTTATATAGGTGTTAGGAGTTTGCTGATGATAATAGGATTTTGTCAATTTAACAGAACTAGGAAAGTATATTTATATTCATATTGACCACAGAATCAAATATTACCATATTTTAAGTGCTGATTGAACATAGGCTAGGCCAATCAATATATGACAGTAAATAGCATTAGTAAATTTCTCTGATAAAATCAAGAGTTTCTTTCCTCTTCTACTTCAGTGAATAGTGGAGGTGGGGTGGAATGAGAACAACCAATCTTACAAACCCAATAATAGGAAACCTCTACTCACTATAGGTCTTTTGTCCATCCCAGCAATGCACACTCCTTTCTTCCCGAAAAAACGAAGCATGAAAGAATTACCAAGTTTACCAAGATCCCCTAGTTTGTTTTCTGATAAGCCCAAGGTAGATGTCTCAGGACAGGTTGCTGGTTGCTGTTTCCAATTCAGGGATCTTGAGAGGTTAACCAGAAGAAGCTATTTAAAAATGTGTTTAGTCTAATCTCTCTGGAATCTCCTGAGGCTGTACATACCTCTGTCTAAAACAATGCAGATTCTCAAAGGTGTTCACAATTAAAAAAAAGAATGACAAACTATTGCTCTAGAGAGAGCCATCTTGAGTTTCTTCCCCGAAAAATGTGCAGAGGGCATACATACATGTCCATTAAATTTTACATATTCTAGGAGGTTCATAGACATCCTGAAGTCGACTTAAGAATCACACTCCAGGTTAAGAATTCTTGGATTCATATGTCGTGTGGTGATTAGTGCTTTGATAAATAGCTAATAATAATAAAAGATGAATAGAACGATGACCACCTTGGCTAAGATGTCAGAGAAGTCTTCTCTGAGGTCACCTGCGAGCAGAGATTTAAGCTGGTGCAGACATGGAGTGCGCATGTCAGGAAAAAGGGAACAGCAAAGGCAAATGCTTGGAGAAGAGAATAGGCTTTAGCGAGTTCGACGTGCATATAGTCATTTCTATTGCATTTCTCTTCCTCGCTTTTTTTCTCTGCTTCCCCACCCCACTTCTATCTTGCACAACCTCTCCCTGGACCCTGGCTTTCGCCTTAAAGAACTCCCGGAGTTCAGAGGCCACCCTTCGGCTTCCCCGTCTCACCGGGGCATCACTATCTGATATTTTCAGGGAACAATGAACTGAGATTCTGGAAAGCTGAGTTTGGGTTCTGCCATTTTGTATGCCCTTGAGACAGTCACTGGTTGACTGTGAATTTCGGGTTTCTCGGCAGAGAGATTATCTTTACGGTCCATCCTGTAATCTGAGATTCTGACCTCAGAATTCTTTTCTTTTTTTTCCCCTTCTTCCCGCCTCCTTCACGTTCCCTCCCTTCAGTCTCCCTCTCTCTGCCCAGTTCTCTGTCACGTCCCACCACAATCTCTGACCCGCCCTTTTTTCTCCCGGGTAGCGCCTGCGCAGACAGGCGTGGAAGATCGCCTTTGACCCAGCTTAGTAGCCGTAGTCAGCCCGAGCGTCAGCGGTGGGGGATTGTGGGAGAAGATGGCGGCTGCCGCTCACCCCTGGGTTGTCCGGGCTCTGCCAATGTCACGTAAGTGTCACCGGGAACACCGGCTCTAGATTGGGGTTCTGAGACGGGGATCGAAAGTTTGGGGAGTGGCGCCGTGCTGCAGCGTTCATGCTGACTCCCTGGAAACCTTGGTTTTTCTAGGTCCGGAGCTGCCTCTGTACAGTTTCTCCTTTCCTTTCCCCCCTCCCGGCTCACATATTAAAATGTGCATTTCGGAAGGGGTCTGCGCTGAGAGCGTGAGCAACGAGAAGGGAAGAGGAGAAAACAGGGAACGTGTGAGGGATCGAGAGAATCAGATTTCTTACAGGGTTGTAGGGTTTGGGGTTATGAGCAGAATTGGTGTGGGGGGCAGGGGGACGGGGAGAGGAATCTGAAATCGATGGGAAAAAAGGATAGTGGAGAAAAGGTTCTTCATGGATTGACTTTATGACCTTGTGCAAACCCTTAATAGGCCTCAACTTAAGATCCTTCGTGTCACAATGGAAATGATAATACCACAAAGTCAGGGAGTTCTGAAAAAAATTAAATGAAATAATATTCATAAAAGCACTTTCTAAATCAGAAGCATTTTTGCAGATGTAGAGTGTGTTAGGTCGAGGCTCTGGAGGTTCGGAGAGAGAAGAATCAGGAGCTTGGTGGAAAGGAAAAGAAGAGTAAAGGATATCTTAGATTTGTGTAAGCGTTGTTCATTTAACCCATTACTTGATCTGCTGCCATGGTCTTCAAGTTGAAAACATACATTTGCTCTTCCACTCACTAAGGCTAGAAAAGCAAGGAAATTTAATATAGTTACACTTCATCATCATTCTTTCACTCTCTACCCTTTCACAAACACACCCCAATCAACCTCCAAAAGTTGTATTTTTCCAGTGTGTTTTCGTCATTACAGAATATCACTTGTTCTCAAAATTGGCCACATGTCCAAATCATTCTTCAGCATTATAAAAAAATAGAAATGGGGACTCATTGCAGAGCTATTGAATCAGAATTTTTGAGATTGATTCCTTGCACCATAAATTTTAAAATGCTCCACAGGTAGTTAGTTCTATTGTTCAGCTTGAGGCGAGAGTCAAAAGTGTTTAGAAGACCCCTTCTTATTTATCATCTTTGGTAGATCTAGGTTCTGTGTACCACTGGGAAGGTTCGTGGTGCGCGGTGTTTATAATGGAATGTTTTGTAGTCATGACTTCTTTGCTAAGACTTCTGGTTCCCGTTAAACAATTCCATTGGTTTGATATAATGTAGATTGTGAATGGTAATAACTGCTATTTATTGGGTACCTGCTATCTGCTAACCACAGTGCATTTTTATAAATTTTTTTTTCAACTTTTTTTTTAAACTGACACTGTGCTGCTTTATTGTCTCTGGTAATATAAGCTTTTGAGTAAACTTTGGAGAGGCAAGTCTAGTGTGTGACATAACCAAAACATCATAGAACAGAACTATGCAAAACAAGTGTATATAGTGAAATATGGAGAAACCGTTAAGTACCATAGGAAATGAGAAAAGGGAAGGATTAGTATTATTTGGAGTAGTGAGGGAAGATTGGAAGACCACTGAAGAATTTCAGGGCTTCCACTTTTTTAGGGTTGTTATGCTCTGGAAAGTCAGAGAGATTGGACATTTTCCTGTCATTGGCAAGGGCAAGGGGGTGAAAAATGGAATCATGACGTGCTCAGTGAAATGACAACCTGTAGGTCTGGAATAGTAGGAAAGGAGGTCAAATGTGTTACGTGAGATCAAGTAATAGAGCCCTTTGAAAGCCGAGCTGAGTTAAGAGCAGTGATCTCCAAAGTGGGTGTTGCAAGAAAATAATGGGATACAAATATACAGTATTAGAACTTAAAGATTTTCGGTAATAATAACATCAGTAGCTAACACATCATTCAAACCATGTACACTGTTCTAAATGCTTTCTGTTTTCTAGTGTGTATAACATATTCGTACTACATAGAACATGGAATGTATACATAAGTACTTAAAAAATAATGCAGTGTGCAAGCAAATATATTTGGAGACTATTGGCTTAGGTGTTACAGTAGGGAAACCAATGTAAGTTTTTGAGCAGAGGAATATAAGGAATAAATAATATTACTTTCCTGATGATGGTCATAATAAATGGAAGAAAGTGAGAGGCTGGAGCCAAAGTGGGTAATACATTTATTGAGCACCTACAATAAGCAAGGCACTGTGATAGATACTTACCCATCTATTACTAATTCTCATATCAACCCTCTAAAGTGTTAGCTCCATGAAGCTAGGGACTTGGTCTTTTTTACTATGCTAGTCGCAGTACCTAGAATAGTGCTGAACCCATTATTATTGAAAAAACAAGTAACCATGTGAGGTTACTATAACATTACCTTCTGAGGAATTTTAAAGTAGTAATAAATGAAAGCAACTATTCATGGAATTCTTAATGTGTACTAGGTAATGTGCTAAACGCTTTACGTACATTAATCCTCATAACAATCCTTTGAGGTATTAATTCTTTGACTCCAACAATTGTTCCCATTTTATTGACTCTGTCCTTTATCATACGTCCTCACTTCCATCCTTACTCATCATTTTAATCATTTCCCTTTCATACATTCTCAACTCCCCAGCCCATCTCCTTTTGGCATAAAAAAAATTAACGCTGATTAAACCAAACTTTTCATGTATTTCCTACTTGCCCCTGAGCAGTAGAGAACTGAGCTAGGGAAAATGCCAACTGACTGGCCTTATTTTAAATTCATGAATACATATCTCAAAGTAGATTTTTCAATAGAATGCAAAGTAGGTTTTCCGTCCTACTTTTTCCTAGGAAATTTGCTTTCCCTTTCTCCATAATGATTATTTAACATCATCAATGTCCTAAAACTTTTTATTTTTTTTTTTTAGCTGAGCCATCCTGCTACCTGTTGGCAGTTCAGCGGCTGCTCAGCTCGGGCTGGACTTGAACCGCTGTTGCTCAGAGCTCAAACTCTTGAGCGAGCTCTTAACCAACTGAGCCACTTGGCCGGCCCTAAAACTTTTAACGTGCTTCTTCTGTCTCATTCTCAGCTGTACAGAGAAATCAAAGGAATCAGACGAGAATGATCCCTTTTTCCCACCATAAAAATCTAATAACTGACCTGTGATAATTCTCTTCCCTCCCTCCTGTTACAGTGGATGAGCTCCTTCTGCTCTGATCTAAGACGAGTTTTCTCACTTTGTGTTCGATCCCAGCCTTTCTTACCTATTCATTCCCTCTTTAGAATCATTAATTTTTCTCCTCTACTGGGTCATTTCCATCAGCATATTAATATAATATCTCACATTAAAAGAAATCCCTTCCTTGTCTTCTTGTTACTCTAGTCCCATTTTTCTTTGCCCCTTTACCTCCTATCTCCTCAAAAGATTGTCAGTATTCCTCTTACCACATTCTTGCCTCACATTCATTCTTTTGCCTGCTCCAGTAAGGCTTTCTTTCCCACTATTCTAATAAAATCGCTCTTGTTAAGGCCATTTACAACCTACATTTTCTAGATCTTGTAGTCCTCTGTTCTCATCCTACTTCCCCTTTCAGTGGCATTTGACAGCGTTAACTCCAGTAGTCCCACCGTATCTGTGGTTTCGCTTTCTGTAATTTCAGTTGCCTTTGGTCCATCACAGTCTGAAAACATTAAATGGAAAGTTCCAGAAATAAACAATTTATAAGTTTTAAATGCACGTTTGTATGCCATTCTGAGTAGCGTGATGAAATCTTGTACCTTCCTACTCTATCCCGCCTAGGATGTTAATCATCCTTTTGTCCACTGTGTCCATGCTGTGTACGCTACCCGCTGGTTAGTCACTTAGCAGCTGTCTCGGTTATCAGATCGACTGTCAGCGTATCTCAGTGCTGATGTTCAAGTCACCCTTATTTT